ATTATAGTGATGTGGTAGTTACACTAAAGGGTTGCACTTAGCAACTGCCTCATACGTCATTATGAAAAGGCAATTTGGCACACCGTCTAGGGCATTAACAAATTTAATTAAGATTTCAGCATTCTTTCTGTTAATGCTCATAACATACCACATTGTAGCTTTTTTTCCTTTTTTAAAAAGGAAAAAGTAGGAAATTCCCAGGAGTATTTCCCCTCTGGAGTAGCTTAATGCAAGGTGTCGCCATCTTATTGCCTTGTTTCATTCATTAGTTTACACTGTTATAGGTTATGATATCCAGCACTGATTCCTTTTAGCAGCTAAATGATTTTCTTGCCACTCAGCAATTACTCCACTTACTGCACAGGGGTTAGTTACTGGAGCTGCTTGCTAACACAAATCATTTCCTTCAATGGAAATAGGCCATTCAGCCCATCAAACCAGCTCTGCCATTTGAAGAGATTATGGTTGATACAATACTCCTCAGCTACACATTCCTGCTTTTTCCACATGACCCTTGATTCCCTTAATGATTAAAAATCTATCTCCGTCTTGAATGTTTTTAACAGTACAGTTTCTGCGGCCTTCAGCAGTAAAGAATTCCATAGATGCACTATCCTCTGTAAGAAAAGATTTCTCCTCATCTCTGTATTCTGAGATTATGCTCTCTGGCCCTACACTTTCCCACAAGGTGAAGCAACGTTTTCATATTTACCCTGTCAAGGCCCCTAAGTATCTTGTACATTTCAATCAGGTTATGTCTCATTCTTCTAAAATTCATATGTACAGGGCCAACCTACTTATTGTTTGATTTATTGTCACATGTACCAGAGTACAGTGAAAAGCTTTGTTTATGAGCAGTGCAGGCAGATCAATGTAAGCATGGATGTACAGATCAAAGGTTGTAACAAAAATCTTAGACAGGCATACAGATTAAATTGCACAGGGCATGCGCTAGACGAGATTAACATTAGCAAGATCAGCATTATTTGAGGCTAGAGAGTCCGTTCATCAGTCAGGAAGAAGCTGTTCGTGAACCTGTTGGTGCATGTGTTCAAGTTTTTGTATCTTCTGCCTGACAGAACGTTGTAGGAGAGCATTACTGGGGTGTGATGTGTCTTTGAAGATGATGGCAGCCTTTCCACAGCAACAAGCCATGGAAATGGAGTCCATGGATGGGAGGTTGGCTTCTGTGATGGTCTGGGCTGTGCACATAACTTTCTTTAGTTTCTTACGGCCCTGGGCAGAGCAGTTGCCATACCAGGCCGTTATGCACCCAGACAGTACGCTTTCAATGGTGCATCTGTAGAAGTTAGTGAGGGACCTTATGGATATGACAAACTTCCTGAGCTGCTTGAGGAAGAAGAGGCGTTGTTGTGCTGCCTTGACCGTCGCATCTGCATGGGAAGTCAAGGACAGGTTGTCGGTTATCGTCACTCCAAGGAACTTGATGCTGTTCACTCTCCCAACCTCCGTTCCGTTGATGTAGATGGAGGCGTGTTCTCCTCCTTTCTTTCTGAAGTCAACGATCAGTTCTTCAGTTTTGCCGACGTTGAACGAGAGGTTGTTCTCATTGCACCACATCACCAAGCCCTGTGTCTCCCTTCTGTACTTGGACTCGTTGTTGTTCGATATCCATCCTACTATGGTGGTGTCATCAGTGAACTTATAGATGGCATTTGTTCAGAATTTGGCAACACAGTCATGGGTGTGCAGGGAGTACAGTAGGGGGCTGAGAACGCATTCTTGGCGGGGGCTCCAATGTTGAGTGTTGTTATGGAGGAGATGCAGTTACCTATCCTCACTGATTGCGGTCTGTGGGTCAGAAAGCTGAGGATCCTGTTGCAGGGGGCGGACCTGAGACCAAGGTCACAGAGTTTTGAGATTAATCTGGAGGGGATAATAGTGTTGAAGGTGGAGCTGGAGCCAATGTGCAGGAGTCTAACATAGGTGTCCTTTTTGTCAAGATGTTCCAGGGATGAGTGCAGGACTGGACATATGGTGTCCACTGCGGACCTGCTACATCGGTAGGCAAACTGTAGGGGAGCGAGGCAGGCTGGGAGGCTGGAGTTGATGTGGGCCATGACCAGCCTCTCAAAGAACTTCATGATTATGGAGATAAGAGCCACTGGGCAGTAGTCGTTAAGGCACATAACGTGTGTTTTCTTAGGTACTGGGATGATGGTGGTCTTCTTGAAGCAGGTGGGGACTTCGACTTGTAGTAGGGAGAGGTTAAAGATATCTGTGAATACCTCCTCCAGTTGATCTTAATTTCTCCTCATAAGACAATCCCTCATGCCTGGGGACAACCTAGTGAACCTTCTTTGGACTGTATCCAATGTCAGTATATCTTCTTCCTTGGATAAAGGAACTAAAACAATTTAACTGGAGACTCGTATAGTTTTAGCAAGACTTCTCTGTTTTATACTCCGTTTCCTTTTGAAATAAACGACAAGATTCCATTTGCAATCTGCATTGCCTGCTGAATTTAGATGGTAGTTTTTGTGATCTATGCACAAAATTCCGTGAAATTCCTCTATTCTGTAGCTTTCTGCAGTCTTTCTCCATTTAAATAATGAAATTATTTAAATAATCTTTCCTACCCATGTGCATAGCCTTACATTTTTCGACATTATATTCCATCTGCCAGGTTTTTTTCCCCACTCACTTAACCTGTCTATATCCCTCTGCAGACTCTTCGTGTCATCCTCATTATTTGATTTGCCGCCTATTCTTTTTGTCTTGTGCAAACTTGACTGCAGTACATTCACTTTCCTCATCCAAGACATTAATATATATGGTAAGTAATTGTAGCCCCAGCACTGACCCTTGTGTCATTCCACCAGTTGCAGTTTGCCATCCTGAAATTTCCCTCCCTAATACAAACCTCTAATTTCTATTAGACAGCCCATCCTGTGTCCAAGAGTCTATTGATCAGTAATGTCTGGTTTTGTTGCAGGAGATCCGAGTTTTCACTTTACTTAGTGAGCCCTTATATTAAATGCCTACACCGTATTGCATAAAAATATGCTTCCAAAACACCTTCAAGACAGAAAATAACTAGAGACTCCCTTCTTCCTTAACTTGAGAGTACTTGTTACTCCATATTTGGTGCTATTCCGTATGTGCTAAGATACCCTGAAGAGGTGTGTTTACAGTTAGGTTGCCTTGGCGGCCAAAGTCTTTTTATCATGAGCATAATTATTCAGACAGTGTGATCTGATTTCTCACCATTTGAGGTTAACAAAAAAAAACAACTAATTGCACCCCTGTTTGCTATTACACAAAGTGGATCTGTTTCTCTTTGTACCAAATAATGTGGGAGTAAGGTTCTTTATAAATTGTGGGTCATGACGTAAATTACAGTTAATTTGTTCATTCGTTTTGTACTGCTACAGTCTGCAAAGTGCGTTGGCACATTTACTTATAACCTGACATGCATATATAAAGAATCCATCAGTGCCAACTGAATGCGGAAAAATAAATCAGTCCTTCTTAACTGTTTGTTTACATCAAATGCACAGAATTTTATTTCATTTACAGTACATTTTATTACTATTAATATTTCTTATACATGTGATCAATTTCGCTTGTTCAAAAACTTGAAGGGCATGCCAGAAGAGGAAATATAAGTACGGATAGATGGACATGAAACGAGTGCAAGTTTTGTTAAACAGTACAGATCATAAGAAAATATCCATAAAGACAGAATCAGGATACTGATGACAAATCTAACTTAATGCGGACAAATTCATGCATTTTAAAAGGAACATCCTACTTTTATGTGATGTTTTTCAAATTCTCCAATCATTCCAGGTATTTCACAGAAGCATAGACAAATGCAGCATCTCAATCAGATCCCTCCTCAGCCTCCTCTGCTCCAGGGGAAACGAACCCAGCCTATCCTGTCTTACCTCATAATTAAGAATTTTCATCCCAGGCAGCATCCTGGTGAATCTCCTCTGCATCCTCTGTCATGAGGCTTAATTTGGTGTTTTCAATGTGGAGAGATAAGGTTAGGTTAGGGTTCACATGGAAGAGGGGGTGGGGTAGTTTATCTGTAAGGGGACTGAGAGTCTTTGAAAGAGGGACCTACCCTGAGGCCACTGGCATTCCCAAACCTGATAGTTTTCAGAAGGTAATCCTGATCATGGTGATCTTCAGAAAGCACAGGGCACAGATGTGAGTTTGGGAGATTCTCTGAGGTATCAGTAAGTCCTGGTGAGCGCAGGAATATTAAGTGGCTTGTTATTGAGCATAATTAGCCAATAAACCAGTTTCCCACATAAACCCATTCCAGCCAACAACTTTGTAAAAGGTCAGTTTGCCTTCAGGCAGTAATGGGATGTACAGCCTGTTCTGCAACTATGCTGGCTGTCTATCACCAAATCCACTCTGAATCCTGTAGTGATTAGAACAAGGTCAGCCAGAATATTAGTTCCCTATTTGGGGCTCTTAACCTGGTCCAATCAGGGAGCCCTGGCTGACAGATATAAACAGGAGTGTCAGAAATTCTGCTCACTCTAGGAGCCAGCTATGAGCCAGTTGAGTCAGTACAATGTACTATGCATGTGTAAATAAAGGGTGACTTGGTGACAGGATACCAGATTTCGTGGAGTTATTTCAGATCCAACCCATGGAATATTTTGTATCTACTTGACCAGGAGTTCAGTTTAATATGCATTATGAAAAAGAGCATCTCTGTCTATCCAGCACTCTCCAAGTACTGTACAGAAATGTCAGATGAAATATGAATAGAGATATAAATTCAACAGGAAGAAAAGGTATGGAGACATATTGAAACTAAGAATACAAATAGTTTTTTCCTTGAACTATGAGTGCATTAGTGCTAATAAAACAGGTTATAGTATTGTAATTATTACAAGTAAGTAAAAATGCAAGGTTAAAAAGGCTTCACCTGTATTCTTGTTTGCACACATCAAATAAATTTAAAAAGCACTGCAGAAGCAAAGTATAAAATCTGCTTTCTTTTCCTGTTTTAGCAAAAGAAGCAAAAAGGGAGAAAAGAATGGAAAGGGATTACGACACTTTTCAATGAAGGTGTGTGAGAAGGTGCAGCGGAAGGGAACTACCTCGTATAATGAAGTGGCCGATGAGCTCGTGGCTGAGTTCAGTAATTCCAGTACTCACATGTCTTCAGATTCTGTAAGTCGGAGAGTTCTTCATAACAAATCAAATTCCACTATGATCAGTTCAGTTAATAATCTGTCATTTAGGATCTCCCTCCTTATTCATTTAACCTTAACATAGAAGAACAATGTACTATTAAGAAACCTTCTGTAACATTTTTGTCAGCTGATTCCTACACATCTAAACTCTTATTCTAAGCAGTAACCTGCATCTAGTGCTTTTAATTCTATATTTTATAAATACCATAAGAAGCTGGCTTATGATTTGCGATGTAAAACAGTGTGATCTAATAAGTAAATACCCTCGCTCACACTGTAATAATTTTGTGCAAATCTGTATATGGATTTGTACATATTCCGTTGGTGCCATCCTTTCTTAATCTAGTTGCATCTCTGAACATCTCCAGTAATGGTATTCTGTACCTGTGCTGTATTTCCAGAGACCCTTAAGTTTCAGTCTTTATCTTCTTCCTCTTCCATGTTTCATGCTGCCTTTCAGCATTATCTAAAGATATAGCATCAGGTTTCATGTGTACACTGACTGCAATCAGTTTTAGCTGTCTGGTTGCCCCCTCAGTCCCTTCACTATCACTGTATTGTTAGCCCACTTGCCTGACATTCCATTCTGAATAAAGTGCAATTTGCTCCAAATAAATAGAGCAGGCATGTTGGGCTGAATGGCCTCCTTCTGTGCCATAACCATTACGTAAACATCATCAGGATGCCCAAAGCCACTGCCTTCAGCTTTTTTTACAAATTCCTTAACTTCAACATTCAATTCCATCCTTCTCTGGCTACTGACTTGGGTTGAAGTTTGAAAACTTTGTCCTGTTGACCCCATATCCTGTTCAATCATAAAGACCACCTACAAACCACGCTGGAACTGTGCACATATCCCCATTTATCTTAGTCCAACTACTGTTGAAATCACTTTCATGTTTTTGTCATTGATGCTTCCAGGCTTAACTATTCCAATCCACAAGTGACCAGACTCCATGTACTTAAGCTGATCCAAATCTTTTCATCCTGTATCCTAAACTTCACAAGTCCTGCACCAACATGAATACTCTGCCCCCTGATGGATGCTAGTCCATGAATATCTTGATAGTAACATTCCCATTCCAATGATAACATTTCTCTACAGCCTCATCCTTTACTATCCTTGCGATCTCCTCAAGCCCTGCCAAGAACTTTGCTATCCTAAAAAATGAATGCAAGTTACTTTTAAGCTGGTATTACTAGAACTTGAGTTTGCTTGTTTATCTTCCACTATTTGCAGATAGTACAGTTTTGGGTGGGAGGATGAACTGTGAGGGAGATGCTGAGATGTTTCATTGTGATTTGGGCAAGTTGAGTGAGTGGGCAAATGCACGGGAGTTGAAGTATCATGTGGATAAACAAAACATTGATAGCCAAAACAGGAAGGTAGATAATTATCTAAGTAGTGATAGACTGGGAAGGAGCAAAGTACAACAAGTGTGGGTGGGTATCCTGTTGTCATTTTACACTAGTTACTGCAGGTAAGCGTTGCTGGAGCAGCAGATGGTGAAGAAGGCAAATGGTACATTGGCCTTCATAGCGAGAGGATTTGAGTACAGGAACAAGGATGTCTTGCTGCAATTATGCAGGGCATTGGTGAGACCACACCTGGAACACTGTGTGCAGTTTTAGTCTCCTTATATGAGGAAAGATATTCTGGTGATAGAGGAAGAATAACAAAGGTTTAATCAGACTGATCCCTGGCATGGCAGGACTGAAATCTGCAGAGGTGCTGGATTGGTCAGGACTGTGTTCATTAGAGTATAGAAGAATGAGATGGGATCTCACTGATAGCTCTAAAATTCTAACAAGCCTAGACAGGGTAAACACAGGAAAGGTGTTCCCAATGACTGGGGAGTCCAGAACACTGGAGTTACAGTCTACAGATACTGAGTCGGCCAATTAGGACTGAGATGAGGAGAAATTTCTTCACCCAGAGAGTGGTGAGCCTTTGGAATGGTTGAGGCCAACATAGAATGTTTTCAGGAAGGAATTAGATATAGCTCTTCGGGCTAAAGGAATTAAAAGATGTGGTGAGAAAGCGGGAAGAGGGAACTGAGTTGAATGATCAGCCACAATTGTATTGAACAGACTCGAAGGGCTGGCTGAATGACCTACTCCTCTGAGTGTCTTATATAGCGACCCTCTGTTACCTAACTCAGACTCATATAACAATGAACCTGATCCACAGATCTTCAATTAAATTGGAGGCTTAAAAGAGAAATTACCATAAATGGCATTAACACTGTTATGTGGGCCTGCATAATAACATTTTGAAACTGTGTGGTTTAGTTGTTCCAAATTCACGAATAAGTTTGAAGAAACGTTCATCACTAAACTTGGTTTGTTTTGCACATCCTCTTTCAGCAGGCATACGATCAAAAGAACATTCGACGTCGTGTTTACGATGCACTTAACGTGCTGATGGCTATGAACATAATTTCTAAAGAGAAGAAAGAAATCCGATGGATTGGGCTTCCCACAAACTCTGCTCAGGAATTTCAGAATCTTGAGGTGAGTTTATTTGGATTGTGTTGAAATATATCAACTCGTATCCACTTGTAGTACACCATAAGGCTTAAATTTGCTCAGAGTTTAGTAATCCAAAGCTTTAAGAATCACAGCAGTTGAATCAGATTAAAGTGGAAGTTGGTTGAGATCATCCCTGGAAAGTAATTTTATGGCTTGTCAAGTTTCAGTAGACAATTTTTTACATGATTTTTGATTTTCATTCAGTTGTATTTTTAGCGTTAGCTGTGCTTCAGTAGCACTCACCTGAGTCAGGAGATTGTGCATTCAAGTCTCAATCCAGAAATTTGAGCTCATAATCTGAGTACTGAATGATTGCTGCACTGTCAGAGGGTACCATCTTTTAGGTGAGATGTTAAACAGGCACCCTCTTAGGTGGATGTGAAAAATTTCATTACGTTGTTTTTTGGAATAACAGGGGAATCCTCCTAGCCGATGGTTATCCCTGGTCCACTGTCACTAATCAGAAGATTTGGGACATTTTTGCAGATATTAAATGCAATTTGCCTCCTGTACTCTTCTGTTACTCGATCATACTGTAGAACTCCGGCTGTAAAGTGCTTTGGGTCATCCTGAGATCACGATGGCTTGATATAAATACAAATATATTATTTCCTTCTTGTGCCACGGATGTTTCTTCTTGCCTAGAATGCTTGCACGCCTTTATGTTAATTTCTTAGCTTCAGGCTTTTCCTCCCATGTTTTTTCTCTTTATGGTTGATGTGTATGTTTCCACAGCCAAGAATCCAGGCTGCCAAGATGGCTACACTGTTGATATTTAATTAGCTACTGAGGAAGTACAGGGGAATAGCCTGGCTTGACTCCCTCTTTTACTCTAGCTTCTCTGTGCAAAGGGTCAGGACCTTCACTTACTTTGGCCCCTGATGTGGTTATTGAAACTGAAACTGCTTGTGTGGGAAATTGTAAGCGTAATTCTGTGTCTTCCCATTCTGTTTCACAGTTGGGCGGTATAAATTAGACTGTTTTGCTAGGTTGCCTGTAGTGCCTGTCTTTAATTTTTAGCATCATGTGTGGTGGAAAGCAGTTTGCTGTGGTATCTAATCATTTAGGAACACTGGAAGGTGTAGGATAAAATCTTATTCTGCAATCTGTTTTGGTCACAAAAACTAAGACCTCATATTATCCTCAAAAATATGATTCCCATTTCAATGTCTCTATATTTCTTTATTCTTTCATGGGATGCGGGCATCACTGGCAAGGCCAGCATTTATTGCCCATCTCAAATTGTCCATGAACTGGGTAGCTTGTGAAGCCATTTTAGAGTATCTTTAAGAGTCAGCCACAATGGTATGAATCTGTAGTCACCTACTGGCCAGACTGCGTAAGGAAGACACATTTCCTTTGCTAAATGACATTAGTAAACTCGACGACAGTTGATGATAATTTCATGGCACCATTACTGAAACTGGCTTTCCCATGGGCTGTAGCAATTCAAGAAGGCAGCTCCTCAAGAGCAATTAAGGATAGGCAGTAAATTCTGGCCTAACCAAAGACATCCACATCCCATGAATAATTCTTGTAAAATTCCAGATTTATTAATTGCATTTAAATTCCAGCAACTACCACGGTAGGATTTGAACTTGTGCCCCCAGAGCATTAGCCTGGACCTCTGGATTACTGGACATTACCACAACCTCCCGTATTTGTCCACGTGGCGAGCATCCTTGTGCAGTCCATTCCAGTAATTCAGCGCTTACTTATCAACCTGTTTAAAGATGCTATGACATACCCTTGGAGCAGGTGGGTCTTGAACGCAGTCCTCTCACCTCAGAGATAGGGACACTACCATGGTGCCATAAAAACTCGCATTTCAGTGCTGAGGACATTAACTTACTTAATAACCCATGTCTATAAAATCAAATGTTTCTTCTTCTCCAAGAATATTGAACGGTAGTCATACATCTGTGATTTAAACTATCTCTTTTCCGTTTATCACAATGACTATTAGGATTTTAGTCCCATGTCATAAATATAAATTTTAGTTTGCAACCTCCTTCTTTTGGTGACTGTCCTTGCCCCCACAAAGTTAAAAGTCAAGTAGTAGAATTAGTGTCATTAACTCTATTTAGCTGCCCCACACAGTGGTGATCATGAGTGTGGCTCGAATTCTCATTCATGTAGGGAGAGGTGAGGCCACAGAAGGTTTGGAGGCAGGTATAATGTTAAAGTTGAGGCATTGGAGTGCCTGGTTTGTGTACAGGGTTAGGATTTGGGTGGATGAATGCCGGGTAAGTTGGAGCTTGAGAAGCTGGACCTTCAGGAAAAATCAGGTCTTGATAGGATAACGACCTGGCTGCGAGTGTCTGTTGGTGAGACTAAAGCAGAGATGAACATTGGCAATCTATAGGTTTCACACCTTGGAGACATTAAAATAGGTATCATTGTTTTTACCGTTTGCTCTGATGATGTCTACTAACTTTGTGCAGAGTGTGATTGATTCTGGGTCTCTGAAAGGTTACCAGTTTGCACATGACATTAATGGGTTTCATTTCTTTCTTCTGTTTATGACACCTTCGCTTCCCCTCCGCCCCACCCGACCACAACCCACCCACCCATCCGCCCCGCGCCTTTCAGTAAAGATCACAAAACCATATCTTAATGCACCACTAAAAGAAATAGTTAAATAACAGCCTGATGGAAGCTTGCTGTCAGATAAGACCGTACTTAAAATTGGTGCCTCCAAGAATGATTACAAATATTTCACAAGTACACCTGGAAGAGGATACATTTGAAATGTCTCCTATGTATCCTCAAAATTGTTAATTATCATTTTAACAAGTCAGCTCGCCTAAGTACATGTTATATAGCTGTAGAGCAGCTCTTAGTACACTATTGGGCGTGGAAAGGAATTTAAAGCTCACAAACAAAAATGAACATGCTAACAATTTAAACTGTATTCTGAGTAAGCATAAGTAAATTTGAATAAGGTCTAATTTGGGGAATTTTCATTGAGATGTGTTAGCTGCATCAGTTCCATTATTCTTTGATCTTTGATTTTATTGTCGTGTATACCGAAATACAGTGAAAAGCTTTACAAGCAGTACAGACAGATCACAGCAAGGATGTGACTTAGAGGCATACAGGTTACATTGCAGGTTACATTATTTGAGGCTAGAGTCCATTCAACAGTCTGACAACGGCTGGAAAGAAGCTGTTCCTGAACCTTCTCAAGCGTGTGTTCAGGCTTCTGAATGTTCTCCCTGACAGAAGAGGTTGTAGGAAATCATTAGCGGGGTGCGATGCGTCTTTAATGATGTTGGCCATCTTTCCGCAGCAGCGAGCCATGTAAATGGAGTCCTTGGATGGGAGATAACAAGGTGTAGAGCTGGATGAACACAGCAGGCCAAGCAGCATCAT